ACTGGGTACATGTGGGTCTGAGTGAGACTATGGGCTCAGGCTGCAGTGGACAGTGGGGGACCGCTCCCTTTAGGCTGGGATACTGGGTACATGTAGGTCTGAGTGAGAGTATGGGCTCAGGCTGCAGTGGACAGTGGGGGACCGCTCCCTTTAGGCTGGGATACTGGGTATATGTAGGTCTGAGTGAGAGTATGGGCTCAGGCTGCAGTGGACAGTGGGGGACCGCTCCCTTTAGGCTGGGATACTGGGTATATGTAGGTCTGAGTGAGAGTATGGGCTCAGGCTGCAGGGGTTTCTACAAGCCACCCCACCCCTACCTAATAGTACTGTCCACTAACATGATATACCCAGAAACAGACTGTGTAGTTCCGATGCCGTTGAAGGAGTAGCAGCAAGAGGTGTCTGTGCCTCTATTCCCCCTGCAGATGTGGACTGTGACCCCTCAGCACTTGATTCCACCTCCTCCAACACAGAGCTGTTGCAGACAGAGGCTGCAGGAGAACCCCACAGAACTTCTTGCCCCTATGTTGCAATGTCTCAATCTACTAGGGGGAGACATTCTGGTTTTCCAACCCTGGAATATGCAAGAGCTGGATAACGCCGCAAGCAGCTTGCCAGATCCCAGGCAGATTTGGCCTCGCTATGCGGCAGCCCTTCAGACTGGTCCTTCAGTGCAGACCCACTGCTGCAGAATTATACCAGCTTTTTATCAAAGCGCTGAAGCGGAGTTATTCTGACGTGAAAGCCCCCAACTCAGCTATTGCTGGCAGCCAATATCAAGCACAGATGCAAAGGATCTGCCAGAGGGTTTCAGAGAAATGTCCTCCACACATGGACTGGACCAAGATGCATCAGGATAGACAGGAGCCTGGTGAATCCTGTGTGTGCGACAGAGTGACTGGCTTTGCCAGCGCTGACCGAACACTGATTTGCCTCTAATCTGGGGTTTTTGTTGGCGATCTCTAAAAACTACAAGCGAGCAGAAAATCAGGGCTAAAATCACATAGTGACTGTAGTGTGAACTAGGCATCACTCACCAAATATTGTTATGAACCTGCACTGTTCATAACGGAATATGCAATCAAAAAAATTGAGACTATTTAAAGCTTTTTTTAATCACTTTAATAAAAGCATTTTCCCTGAAGCATTCCAGAATAGCACTTTCATGTTAGACAATGCAATTCAGTCAACTAAATTAAGAACAGATTATTATTTTCAACTTGTTCCCCATACAAAATAATAATAATTTAAAAATTGTTACCATTATAACATTTTCTAGAACAATCTAAATTTTCTTCAAAAAAAAAAAAAACACATTTGTGACCTCTTGGTAAAAAAAAAACCCCAAACTCTACAGAGTACTTAAAGTTCAATGGTAATGCTCATTTATGCCCATACATTCACAAAAGAGATACCATCATGCTCCTCTACCATAAAAGAAGCTTCAGGAATTCATAAAGCATTTGTTGACACCATATAAGCAACTTCAGAATGCAGTCAAATTCGTTTATGAACTATACAGGCAAATGGGGAAAGGCTGGAAAATAACGTGCCACAATATACAATCAGAGCGGCACGAATCCATTCCTTCGGGGACAAAATTCCTTCATACACACACACAACCTAGTTTAAGCTTTTGCAATGCCATTCTGTAATGAAATGAATTTTACATATGCTCATGATTGTGGAAAACAATGTGGTTCTTATTGTGGAACAAAAATTGTCAGTCCCCTCACTGAGATTTGGAAAGCACTTTGTATTAGAATCCAGTGAATATGGCATGAAAAGGACTAAAGTTCATTTCAGTGCTGAATTGGTAATTGTTTACACTGTTCATAGAAACAGGTGAAAATAAATGAACAAGGAAATTCTTGTTGATAAATGGCAAGTAAAACAAGATTTTTAGTCCATTAAATACATCTTGACTAACCACACATGACATCCAAAGAGTCATGTATTCAGTCCGCATACAAACATGCCTACAACATACAAAGCATGAGCCTTTAAAAAATGTTTCACACAAAAACTATTACTTGGTTAAACTTGCTACAGCCAGTACCATTTACACCAAAAACAAACCTTCCTTTTTCAGAAGCCCTTTAAAATTGACAAGAGCCCTTATAAATACAGGCAAATTCAAATGAGTTCAAGACTGCTGTACTATAGAATGATCCAATTCACAGTTTAAAATTTCTGGAAAACAGACAATAGGGAATGTTATGTAATAAAACAAGTTTCAATTAAAAGGCACTTGAGGGTGTAGTTAGAGGAAATTCCTTGGTGTTCTCTGATTAGCATGAGGCATGAACTTCTTGATCCCAGACACATCAGAAGTCTTCATTTTTCCTGGTCCCAATTAATTCATCAAGAAACTATTCACACAAAGAGGACAAAATGAACGGAGAATAATACTATTCATACGTAACGTTCTTCAAGTTTACTAGCTATTAACATCCATTAATAAACCACTCAGAAAATCAATGAACCCTTAAAAAGAAATCTAAAAACGTTCCATATTCTGCATTCCTATACAGGTGAGATGTCGACTTGCATTGTTACGATACGATGTGTAATTTGCCTGTTGGGTGCATGTTTCTTTAGGCGTTTCTGTTACTGACGCTGCCCACAATTACACCTCCCCATTCTGGTAGCCACTTCCCCCCCCCATCACTTCCTTTATAAAGCCTGTCTTGGCAATGAACAGGCGGCCGTTACTTTGAGTTTGTTGTACTTATTGTTTACCATATACTTTGATTGTGCTTGTTTTTGTTTGACAATTGATTTTGCTTAGACCGTTTCTGATCTGGTAGCTTCGGATTCTATTTCGTAGACAGCCTGTAAATATTTGTGGAAGTGAAATTTAAAGAAGCTCAACACCCCTATAACCTCAATGGGAATGAGAGCTCGCAGGGGCTGCAGTTAGCGTCTCATTTCTGCTGGGCGGTGGGCCCAATCAAGTTATGAGATAAGGGAAACTGCCCCTAGTGTGTTGGTAAATGACCTGACATTTAATGGTTCTCTATCTCCCCTGGCTGAGAGGGGGAGACTGAATATGGATTTAACTTGTTTCAATCCACTCATATACAGCCATGGAAAAAGTATATATATTTTTTTTTAAACAAATCTGGATTTTCAAATCGTTAAATCGTGATCCTGCAGACAGAACGCTACGCTGAGAAGCAAGCTGCTTCCAGGTTAAAAATCTCTAAGACAGCAGTACACAAGAATAAGGCGAAGCAGTGGACACTGGCAATGACCAAAAAGCAGCCAGTTAAAGGGCGGAAGGAAGCAACCATTTACTCATCCAACAGTTTCTCATGAATGGTAGGATGATTCTTTACACAAGTACAGAATCTCTTTTGTATAAACTTCCAGTACACGTGCAATGCAAAACAAAACTAAATACAGGAAAGTTCAGTGGGGTTTTGGGGATGCGGCATGTATATCAGGTGCTAAATCATATAAGGATTCTCTGGACAAAGGTTACGGGTTACCCTACCTGTAAGGATAACCATGGTATTTGGCTCTGAAGATCGACAGGAGCCAGCTGAAGAAGAGGACAACAAGGCCGATCCCAGCAACACATATAACTGTAGAGACGCAGCAGAAACAATGTTGTACAAATACACTGCCTCAAAGTCCAAAGAGTTACCATTTGCGAAAAACATGTTAGTGTCAATTGTAAATCACAGTTCTCAGCATGCAATCTAATTAATTGCTAATCATAAGCTAGTTAGACCAAAACACAGGGTCTAAAGAAAAATGCAAATGCTTCATTTAAAAAACAGAAGTATTTTTTAAGTTGCAGTTGTGAAAAAAAACTTTAAACAGAGATTCAATACACTGTGTAAAGTGGCATAGAAACAAAGATCCGCTGCCACCGCCATATTTAACCTGCTAACGACTGTAATTTATACCATGGTAAAGTGTTTTGGCAGTGTTTTCAAAAGCAATGCTATCCGGGGATGATGTCATTAAGATTTCAAAATGCTGGAATGGTGCTGCCTTTGAAACTGGTATTACCACAATACCATATACCCTACACATTAACACATTGCTTTAGTGACTGCAGGACAACTTAATACACATTTATAACGAAATATTATTAGTACAGGATGCCAGTCCATCACGGGGCTTGCTAGTATGTGTGCAGACATACAATGACCGATGTAGAGACACCAATCCACTTAAACTGCATGTTGTAGGATGGTAAAGGAACTGGGTACAGAGAGAGAGAGAACATGAAAAATACCCAGGCTTAAGCTGGAGGAGGCTACCATGAAACCAAGCTGTGAAATCCATAATCAAAATTATTTCACACTTACTTTTCCTCTTCCCTATTTCCATGTCGGATGTCGCTGCCTCATGCAAAAGCACCATGCCAAGGGTAACGGCAGCGTCTGACAAACTTTGTCAAAGGGATTTCCATTCTCAGGGCGATCAGGTGAAGCTGGATTCTAAAGGCTAAATAATCCACTCCCTACATGCACCCGAATGTGCAGAAAGCAAACTGTGCCACGAAAACTCAAAGGATACTGAACAGGAGAACTATGTGGGTCTCAGCCACAAACTGGGCCTGGCTACTCGAATGGATGTAATTCTTAAAAACAGGAGACAGAAAAGTAGTGTATTAGTGTAATATATGAGAATTTAATAGGTTTCATGCGTGTACCAGAAGTAACAACTTACCACTTGACCAGTACTGGGATTCTTATGTGCATATGGCGGTCCACGTATGTGGTTCCACATTTGTCCTGAGGTCATGATCAACACAAAGCACTAGCACAGAAAAGAGACAACTCATCAATCTGACATTTGGTAAAACTGTTTCTAAATTGGAACAAAACTGCTCCATATGGCCATTACAGAAAAAAAAACATTTTTTTTAACTGAAATAAGATATGTCAAAAGAATGAGGAACACATTTTTTTTGCACTTTTTGGGTGATATACTGTGTATAACGTACATCATGTATCGTGAAATTATACTGCGTACACTGTATCTGTATAATCTTGGACAAATTGTTTTCAGGATGTGCATGTCATTTACATATATGACACTGCTATGGAACTTGCACATAACATTTTCACTCACATGTACATCTGTATCAAGTGATGATAAAAGCGATTTGGTTTAGATTTCATTTATTTTGGTTCAGTGCACGTACCAGTGCTGCAAAAGCCCAAGCGTTTTTGTTATGGAGGAACTCGAGGCTGTTGCGTTTCAGGTACACGAGGCTTCCAATGACTGCCAGTAATAAGCCCAGCATCAGTGGCCCAGCATAGTTGGGAGGCCTGATCACTTGTATCTATAGAAAACAGGTGCACATAATTTTGTGGTATCACAAAAAAGTCATCAATGTATCAGTTGGAGAAAGAATCAGTTTTTCCATCTTATAAATAGGTAATTCACATACCATTTTTATCATCAAAAACATAAGGCACACATACAGTATAAAAGGCTATATTTGCGATATATACTGAGCATCAAAATAAACTTATCGAGGTTTTCATTGGGGTACCGTTAAATTTCTGTAATGTAATATATTATCCTGCAGTATTTAAGGTCAGTACTTATGAGTCAGTAACCAGATCATGGTTGATGTGCGATTTGAATGGTCGACTTCGTTTGTAGAGACTGATTTGCAATGAAGGTAAACAAGTATAATCTGGAAATTTGCTATAAGATGTCTTGTGTGTCATCTTGCCGGCGTTGTGCCTTGGTGAGAATCCTCTCAGAAAAACACAAGTTAGAGATTAAACATTTGACCCAGGAGCAGCACCTATGGAGAACAGGGATACTGGAAGCAGGACGGAACCAGAGAGGAGATGCTGGAGTTGCTGCTCATAGGCTGCAATATCACAGCTAGCATGCGGGTATCGGGACACCGGCAGTGTTAGTGAAGGCCACAGGTCTGGCAGGCCCCTGGGTTAGAACCCCTAGCCAAGACAGACATATTGTCCAGCATCACCCAGGAGACTGGTTCAGTAGTGTTGCAGCCACAGCAGCTGAACAAGTAAGAATTGGGGTAGCATCCCAAACCAAACCAAATCACAGTGGAACAGTGAGCTGCGAGTATAATGTGAGCTGTTCCATGGTGAGGAGGCTATATGCAAGATGACCTTTTTGAGGTCCTGTCCTGTCTAATCTGCAGCCATGGAGAAGACTAAAGTGGCAACAATGTTCACGATGGATACGCAGGGAGTGGGCTGGGGTTCGAATCCTGACGAATCGTGCTTTTCTGTAGACGGTCTTGACTGAAAAGGACGAGTCTGACAAGGAGCTGGTGAACGGTGTGCGTAATCTGGAAGAAGTTTCTTTTGATGATCAGTATATAAATATGAAGAATATTACAACAGAGACAACTGCAGAGTTCATGGCTGGAGAAAAGGAGAAGGCATTTGGTCAGGCAGTTGTACCAAGGTGATCATAGGAGGCTTACATTGATGTCGGTCCTGTCTGCAATCCATCTAGACAGCTGCTCTGCCGCAAAACCTCGAACCTGCAACTCGTATGCATCTGCACGCTTTGGCTTTCCTTTCGATGGAAAGTGCATGAATGTGGGGGCAGAATTCATGTTCAACTGAGGAGAGACAAAACAATGTCAAAGATGTATATAAAAAAAACATTTCAAAGGAAAATACCAGGTAAGTAAATACCTACTATATACACAGTAATCAGAATACTGTATATCAGACTGTTTCATATTCCTTGGATTATTTAAGATTTACAGGAGTTGCAGTAAGTTTAAATTACATTTTTCTTAACTATATTCTCAGAAGTGCAAATTTTTAAGCTACATATCATTACATGATTTAATAAAGCAAATATGCCTAAAGAGTACCATGTGAAAAACATCTGATCCCTCATCAAAGTCAACAGCAGCAAAGAATATCTTGTTAGTGAAAGCACTGGAGTAGCGCCAAGAATTGGCTAAGATTTGGTATTCTTCATCAGCTTGCCTAGAAACAAAAAACACCACATTCCAACCATGCAATGCAGAAAACTCTTTAATCCATCACATCATAAGATTTTAACAGTGCACAATCTATCCAACATACTTTTTGATTGCAAGAAAACCGTTAAAGCCATTAAAATATCGGTACTCACTTGCACACGCCACACTGCCTCTGGGGCTGAAGCGCAGTGAACATCACTATCATTGAGTAATTACGAGGAGGGGCCTTCACGAAACGTCTGAACTTCTCTCCATTCATTCGTATCACTGATCTTCTAGTTGCCCACTCCATCATTTGACCGACTTTGTCTGTCAGTAGTGTCTACAGAAAGAACAGGTTCTTGTCAGTGCACTGAGAGAAATATGTAAAGTTTCAAACCGAACTTCATACAAAAGTTTTAAATTGTATAACAATCTAAAACGTGCATTCTGATGCATCATACTTTTGCATGACACCGAAAATAGCAAAGTTTGTTACAACTGTAACCGACTGTCACAAACTGTTAGGAAACTAGTGATTACAAGTTTAAGTTTTCGGGTAAGTTTGAATTATATATCGCTTCCCATCTTACGTTCGTTGCGATACATTTTTTTTCTCGTTACCATTAGTCATTTTTATAATACGGTTACCTAAACAACATTTTCTTAAAAGTATTACATTTGATGTGCCAACCTAGAGTGCGCCAGTGTCATAAAAGACCATTCCATTTATTTGCAATCCATTTAGCTACTAAATTTGCTTCACTTCCTGATTAGCTATGTTGCAACCTGATTTATATTAATCATTAAAACAGGCTAGCAAACTATACATATAAACAACTACCACGTGCACGCACCTCCTTTTTCTTCTGTCCTTCTGAAGGAATTCCATAAACCAATAAAACAAAGATAAGCCCACACAAAACTTTACACGGAGACATTTCTATACTTCGTTAAAGAGCAACAGCGCCTTCGGCGAGGCGCTGACGTAGAATTTACAACTGTGGGTGGGCTTATTGGTTAAATATTAATTTATGCATTTCTACAATTGGCCAGTTGTCTCCGACGAGCCAATCGAAGCATGGTGTCGCGCTACACCACGCCTACCCAAAGCTGCTTTCCGTGTCAGGCGAAAGGCGAGCTGCTCTTTTTAATCCGCGGCTCAGATGCCCTATATACCAGGCAGCGCTCCGTCAATATTATACAAAAATTCACAACAGAATCGTTATCCTGTTCAGCACCTTGAAAAGTGACAAAAATCTATATTTATTATTTCATGATAAAGCGGTAAAATTATTCTGTATTTAAAAGGAATTAATGTAAAGCGACCGCTGGAAACCTTAACATTTATTAAAACGCGTTTTCTTATGAATTTAGGTAAACTTTTTTTTTTTCCAAACAGATTGGCCTTAAAAGTTACAAGTAGAACAGCATCGCACCTTTAGGAATTAGAGCCTATATCCACAAAAACTAGCCTTGCTCCAGTAAACGCATACTATTAATACATCCAGGTATAACCCAAATGGGAATTTGCTGTTTTTATTAAATGCATGGTAATGGCTATATATATATTATATATTACTATTCTCATACTGCCCCACAATCAGGGGCAGATTAACGCACAGGCTAGATGTGGCTTAAGCCTAGGGGCCCCACATGTGCCAGCCTGCAAGGGGGCCCCCATTGGCGTGGAGGGGGGCGGGGTTGGGGGGCCCACAGACTACTGTAGCCTAGGGGCCTCTGTACACCTTAATCCGCCCCTGCCCACAATGATGATGGATATTTAAGGATTAAATGTAGTTTTCTGAATCCTTTGCAAATTCATATATTCAACAACATTTTAAATTAAAGCTGTCCACCTATCTCTCATATAACCGCTTATCCAGCACAGCAGTGTGTTTCTCAGTCCGGTCCTCCAGGACACCCCCAAAACGGTCCACATTTTTGCTCTCTCCCAGCTCCCTGCCAGATATTCCACATTTTTGCTCTCTCCCAGCTCCCTGCCGGATATTCCACATTTTTGCTCCCAGGAGCTGGGAGGAAGCAAAAACATGGACTGTCTGGGGGTCCAGGTTCAGAAATACTGCAGTACAGAGAAGTACCACAGGTCAGAGACACCACAAGTCTGGTGGCAGTCCGTTGCAGGACACACTCTCATACTAAGTGATACTGTGGGAAGAAAGTCACGTAAACATGAGGAGAACATGCAGACCCAGCATCATAGGTAGGTTTGAGACCTACAAACTAGTGTTGTAGTCAAGACCGCCTAAACCGAGACCAAGACATTGCCGAGACCGGAGGGTATCAAGACCAAGACACTGCCGAGACTTGAGGGTACGAAGACCAAGACCAAGTCCAACACCAAGACCAAGACACACTAAGGCGAGACCAAGACCAAGACTGGTCGAGACCAAGACCAAGACCGAAAACAGACTAGGGCTAGAATCGACATCACATTACCCAGATCAACTGTAGAGAAAAAAGGCATTGCTGTAAAGTGTCATTACTCGTTAAATCAAATTCATGTTATCTTTTCAATTATATTGTCCGTATGTCCATATGTCTCTCATTTAAAATCTCCCAGATTTGTCATAGTTACGAGACCTGATAGAAAATAATATTCTCAGCAATCCTCTCCTATAAGCATTTTATCAGACCTCGTCAAGGGAAAGAGATGGGATGTACCAGAAAGATGTTCATATTAAGTCTCTTATACCAGGGACAGAGGCCTCGGGTAAGCTATGAATACAGCTATGTAATGATCCTTTGCTTTGAATTGAAGAGAATGAGCCTCCAGATTGACTTGCACCTCCAAGACCGTGCTTTCTAATCAATGTAAAATACCTAATTTATTTGAATTATAACTATGCTATAGACTTCGCGGACATTTTTTTGCCGATGTATGATACGATGTGTATGATGTGTGTGGACTGTGAAGCACTGGCAGTGTCCGTGGAGAAAATGTATAAAATGTAACGTTTTTGAAATGGATGCATCTGACTGGTTGCATTTGAATTGAGGCGCGTAATAAATAATGATACTGTTCTGTGAGGATATTTCTCTTTTTTTCCCCATCCCATCGAGAACGCTATGTCCGAGACCAAGACAAGACCGAGACCAAATAGAGTCGAGACCAAGACAAGAACGAGACCAAATAGAGTCGAGACCAAGACAAGACCGAGACCACAAAAAATTGGTCTCGAGACCAAGACCGGTCTCGAGAACTACAACACTACTACAAACAGTACAACTAAGCCAATTAATTAGGCTATGCATAAAAAGTAGATAAAAATGTGTTTATTGTTTGTTTGTTTGTTTTGTTTTGTAGAGGACCATTCATTCATCCATCCATTTCCCATATACAGGGTTGCAAAGGGAGGACCATTCAGCAAGTCCATTCTTATTAATATTATAATATTGTCTTCATAAAATTCATGTCAGGCGTGGAGCAGAAGATTTTGTGCCCCTCAAATGCACATACACACATACATATGCACCCCGCCACATACCTCTATCCTCACTACAGATTCCTGAAGGAAACATGCATTCTTTAAGGACACATATTTGACTGTTGAAAGGGTTGTAATATGAAACACTGCACAATTCTAAAATGGCGTTATATAAACTTTATTTATTGTTAAAGTATAAATAAACCCAAAATTTTGCCTCAAACAAAAGACTGGCATGTGACGTACTTTCATTCATATTAAAAGAAAAAATAAACACCAGCGCATAGAACTTAAATAAAGAGAAAAGTGTCAAAAAAGCAACTTTTTGTTTCTGTTCATTTCAGAAAAGCACTTGGCTGTTGTGGTGTCTCTACCTATTAATGCTGCTCCGCAAGGTTTGAATTGAGGCTTGTTTTCTTTTGCATCAAATGTGAAACATCCATATGTCGGTATGTTTTTCCCTACCTAAAGCCAGCTGTGACACAGACATAATGGCTAAACAGTTTTCAGGCAGACTTCACAGACAAAACTCTATGGGTAACATATTACTTGAGGGGGCACAAGTAACTTAGTAACTCAGTTACTACTCCATCCATCCATTACCATCCACTAATCCGGGGTTCGGGACGCGGGGGTAGCAACTTCAGTAGAGATACCCAGACCTCCCTCTCCCCAGCTACCCTGCTCTTCGGGGGGGGGGGGGGGGGGGATGCCAAGGCCAAGAGATATAATCGCTCCAGCGTGTCCTTGGTCTGCCCCGGGGCCTCCTCCCTGTAGGATATGCATGGAAAACCTCTCCGGGTAGCCACTCAGAAGGCATCTGCGCCAGGTGTCCAAACCACCTCAACTGGCTCCTTTTGACGTGGAGAAGTAGCGGTTCTACCCTGAGACTCTCCCGGATATCCAAACTTCTCACCTTATCTCTAAGGAAGAGCCCAGACACCCTGCGGACACCTGTATCCGCAATCTCATTCTTTTGGTCACTACCCACAGCTCATTACCATAGGTGAGGGTAGGCACAAAGATGGCCCAATAGATTGAGAGCTTTGGCTTTCCGGCTCAGTTCTTTCTTTGGCCATGACAAACCGGTTAAGCACCTGCAGAACTGCAGATGCCACTCCGATCCGTCTGTCCAGCTCCCGATCTCTTCTACCCTCACTCGTGAACGAGACCCCGAGATACTTGAACTCCTCCACTTGAGGCAGTACCTCCTCCCTGACCTGAAGAGGGCAATCCACCCATTTCCAGCTCAGAACTATGGTCTTATGCTTGGAAGTGTTAATCCTCATCCCTGCCACTTCGCACTCAGCCGTGAACCATCCCAGGGCACGCTGGAGGTCCCCAGCAGATGAAGCCAACAGGACCACGTCATCTGCAAAAAGCAGCAACACAATCCTTAAACCACAAAAACTGGACACCATCAACTCCCTGGCTGTGCCTAGAACTTCTTTCCATAAATATTATAAACACGGCCAATGACAAACGGCAGCCCTGGCGGAGCCCAACACGCATTGGGAACACGTCCAACTTATTACCAGCAATGCAGACCAAGCTTCTTCTCCGTTCATACAGAGACTGAATCGCCCGCAGTAGTGGGCCCTGAACCCCATACTCCCAAAGTACCCCCCACAGAGCACCTCAGGGAACCTGGTCATATGCCTTCTCCAAGTCCACAAAACACATGTAGACTGGATGTGCAAACTCTCAGGCCCCCTCCAGTACCCTTCCGAGGGTATAAAGCTGGTCCAATAATCCACGGCCAGGACGAAAACCGCATTGTTCCTCCTGAATCCGAGATTTGACTATCGATCTCACCATCCTCTCCAGTACACCGGAATTGACTTTCCCAGGAGGGCTGAGAAATGTGACCCCCCTATAGTTGGAACACACCCTCCGGTCGCTCCGTATGGCCGCTTCCACGATGGAGGTCCGGAACAGTGTCCATTCAGACTCACTGTCCCCAACCTCCCCCGGTATGCAGTTGGAGTTCTGCCGGAGGTGCAAGTTGAAAATCTGGCAAAAAGGAGCCTCTGCCAGACGAGAGATGGCTGTCAAAAATAACCCCTAGGTTACGGACATATGGTTTGCTAGAATCCGAAAAGGAACCAAGGAGTTCACATCCCTTTTGAATTTTAGCAGAAGGACCGATAACTAACAATTCAGTTTTGTTTTGATTAAGATCGAGAAAATTATCAGCCATCCAGGATCTTAGTTCACCATATACCATATGCAGAAGACAACAAGGCAGTGTGAATATGGTGGATGCACAGCGCAAAGGTGAACTGCATCAGTTTTTAAGTTCTTACAGTCTTTGTAGTAAAGTAAAATTAAGTAAAACAAAGTCAAGTAAAGCGGCTAGTGCTGGATATGAGTGGGTGGGGTTTACAGTCCAGACTTTTTGGGGGTGGGGGGGAGAGAGAGCAAAGTGTTCAGCATCCTGACAGATTAGTGGATGAAACTATTCCTCAGTCGGGTGGAGCAGGCATGGAGGCTCCAGGACATTTTCACAGATTGCAGGAGTCTGAAAAGGCTGTAAGAAGGGTGGGTGGGGTCTCCCACAATGCTGACTGCTTTGCGGACCAGGCAGGTGCTGTAGATGTCCAGGAGGGAGGTTCCAACGATCTTTCCCGCTGTGTTTCCTACACGGTGGGGTAATCCTCCATCATTATTCTGTCCATTTTGTGCAGTGCACCAGTTCCACTGGCAGCAAAATATCCCCAGAGCATGATGCTGGTGCCACCATGCTTAAAAGTTGATACAGTGTTCGTGGGGTTGAATGTCTTACCATTTCCACTCCAAACATAACCTATGGTCATTGTGGTCAAATAACAAAATTTTTGTCTCATCTGCCCATCAGACATTCCTCCAGAAGGCTGCATCTTTGTCTATGTGATCAGTTACATACTTTAGCCAAGTTTGAAGGTGTCATTTCTGGAGCAGGGGCTTCTTCCTTGGACGACAGCCTCTCAACCCTTGACTACATAAAACTTGCTTGACTGTGGAGTGTGACACTGGAATTCCAACAGCTTCTAGTGCATGGCAGACCTGTGCCTTGGTGGTTCCTGAGTTGCATCTGACCATCCTCACTACTTTCCTCTCCACAGAAGGTGACAGGATTGGACCCTGTCTTGTTTCGTTCTGCCCAACGTTTCCCTGTTTAGCGAGCAGGTGTCCATGGCCACCCCGGTCTTTTCTCTGTTTCCATGTTGTGCAGCTAAGAACCATGCATCCTTAACCGTTGTGGGTTCCAAGAGGCCAGACTCAACAGTTTTGGATGTTATATGTTAACTATGTTCTTGTGTGCATGTATGCAAGCATTGATCCTTGTGTCTAGTTTTGTAGTAAGTATCCTGCAGCCCTTGTTCCTAGTGTCACCTAGTCTTTGAATCCTTAGTGCTGGTTAAAACCTTCAGCTGTTCAGGAATACAAAGGATCAGGTAAAACGGGATTTAATAGGGAAACGGAGCAGGGACATGTAACAAGCCAAGGAACAAGCAGCACTACACAATCAGACTTCTAGACTTCAATGGCAGACCTAGGGAAACAGATTTGAACGTGGACTGAAGTACACAGGATTCAATGGAAAAAACAGGAAACAGCTGGTAACAATCGGGATTTCACACGAGGTTAACGAGGGGCGTGGCACACAGGAGGATCGGACGGGCAGGGCATGACAAAAGGACTTCAGTTGATGGAACGGAACTCTCACTTAAATAAGACAGACTTATCGAAATAAGCCAGACTTTCCCTTAATCCTGCTTCATGGAATACCCCCCAGGCCATCCTGAGCCTTCTTGTTTGTGTTTACCCAGCTGTTTCCCATCACCTTTGGTGAGTTAATTGTTATTGTCCACACCTGCTCCTCATGTACTCCTCATCATCAGTGTATATATGTGCCTACCCTCACCAGCCTCCCTAGCTCAGTGATGAATGTCCTTTGTTACATTGTGATGTCGACTCGTCTGCAACAGAATGTCCTTTTTTGGGTTACTGCACATGGATCTCAATCCCTCCTAACTTTAGAACATGATAAATTGCTCTGATTTCATAATGTATTTTCAAAAAATGGCACACTTAAATAATTATAAATTTGATTATATATTTATTAAATTAATCATTGTGAGTAATTTGGTCCTCCATAGCTTTTAACAATACAGCTTAATATTTCAATGTGACCTAGATCCTGCTAGAATGACAACGTCACAATACTGGTGAGGGAGGAATCAAGAAGCCAAAATATTGGACAGGAATTGAAGTCATCATCATAAGTCGCAAAGCCAGAGAATCTATCCTGGATAGTGAGGGTAAGAGACACACTCGTGATGAGTGTGGGGTCAGGATCAGGATTCATACAAAGAAATGGATCAGAGAGAAGAGACACACTAGTCCACAAAGTAGGAGATTCAAGCAACCATGGAAAAATGAGTAAGCACTAGGTTATCAAACATCCCAAGAAGAAAAATTGCAACAACTAAACTAGTTCTCCCAGTTAAACGCTAAAAGCAACACAACAGCTGTCAGAACTCTAGTGAGCTTGAATAGACAAGGGGGCATAGTCTTTGACAGTTGTCCAGCTCATCCTTACAGACAACAATGTATTCCCCGGATGCCCCCATCATGCCCTCCCCCGATCTAATCGATACTCCTCCCAAACCCCCCAACCATTGTAGTACTTTGAAATATTGGGTGGGAGGAGGAGTCCTCATGAAAAGAAAATGCTGACTAACCCTTTTTTTTTTTTTTTTAGCATATTCAGAACGTCATTGTAATGAACACACTGAAGGGATTCAACTACAGGGTTTGGAGGCTCAAATTGTAATTGCAAACAGGCAGGGTCAAAACCAAGAGGCAGAGAAGCAAACCAAGCAGAAGCGGAAATCCAAAAGCACAAATGCAGGTACAGGCAAAAGGTCGATAATGAAAAGCCAATCAGCAAGGTAACCAAATCCAAGAAAATACAAAGAAGAGAACTGGAAGTCCAGGAGTCTTATGTCAAAAACATGAGGGACATGTGGTCAGTGCACAACGGAAAGCAACGTCCACAGTGGTGGGGGCAGAATGGGTGTCAGGCTTGATTGACTACCAAGACCTCACACCCGCTGAGGGCTTTGCGGATGGCAGTGTAGACGGCGTGCAAGTTGGTGATTGCTCCCTCATATGACATGGACCAGGATTTACTCCATCAACTTTTCAAAGATGGCTGGGGTGTTACACAAACCGACCAACATAGCCCAGGGTTAGACCTTAACCAATGGTGGATGCAGTCTTGGGTCCGGCATCTGGGGTAAATTTGACCTGTTAGTTGCCATGTCAAAGATCGAAGGAGCTGATCCAGCAATAAACTCCAGTGTGTCATCAATCCAGGGCAGTGGGTATGAATCCTTCCAGGTCATGGTACTCAGATGCCAGGAGTTCACACAGAAACTCCATGATCTGTCCTTCTTCTTAAACAGGACTGCCGGTGAACCCCAGGACTGTCGGAAGACTCAATACCTGATTGTTTAATGCTTGGCCAGCAAAAACAGGCGAGGTCGCAGATGGATGGGCTTCCGGCATCAATTCAATGTTGGACAAGTGCTGTTGATCTGCACTTAGTCTTAGGCCATGAAGATATCCTTATGGCCATCTAACAGTGTCCTCAATCCGCACTGCTGCTCTGCTGTCACACTTCATGAATCGCCTGCACCATCTCCCATGAGGCTCCAGCCATTATGCCATCATCGTTGTGCTGCGTTAGCAGTAGTTTTGTCACTATATTAATGTGTTTCTATGCTAAATCATAAATTTTGATAATTTTCTAAAAAAGGAGAAACACTTTTAAATAACTTATTTTTCAACTACAACCCCTCTCTAGTTCCTTACTGAAATAAGCAGTTATGAGTCAAAATGTTTTTAATGATGGTAGGGTCATAAAATAAAATTTAATTTAAGAGTTTCAGTCTGAATATATATTAAAATTCTCCTTGTAGTCATGTTTGAATATACACTATATAGACAAAAGTATTGGGACACAACTCTTAGTCACTGAATTCGGGTGATTCATTTAGACCCATTGCCATAGACGTATAAAATCAAGAACCTAGCCCTGCTCCAAATGAGCTGCCAGAAGTGTCTCCTTTATTATCATAACTAAAAACAAATTAAATGCTTAAACATTATGAAGAGACCAATTTCACAATTTATTCTTGTATACTATATTGTTATAAATCAATGCAACATGAAAATGTTTAGTCAATGTAATATTTTTAAACATATATGTAAACAAAACAACTATTACATATTGCGGGACAAAGGACTCAGCAATTGGGAACAAAATGAGATTTATTACAAAATGGAATCAGCCTGGAAAGTAACTGGATCACAGGGCATCACAAACTGGGAAGACCACACAGGGTCAGCAACGTTAATGTCAGGACTGAGGAGCACAGGACTGGGAAGCACTATTAACAAGGACTAACGAAGGAGCAATCAAGAGGCAGCTGGAGTGAATCACACAAAGGCAGGAACGACAGACAAGACAAATGCATAACAGGCGGTGGCTCGTTAGAACCACGCTAGGGAGAAAACGCGACGGGCAGGTAGGTAGGATGTAACAACAACAACAACAATAATATTCATTGAATTACATAAAACTTATCTAGTTTTTATCACTTCTTTGTTTAGTGGCCCATCATTTGTATACTTTTTCTGGTGCATCCCTTTGAAACACCCAGCAGCTAAGGATGGGAACAATCCTCAGCAGACCTTGCATTCAGCCAATAGAAAATTCAGACAGCAGAGAATTAATATTCACTGAATATATTGTGGAAAAGGGTTCAGTAGTTAAAGCATAACACGTATTTTCACTTACTAAAGCAATTTATGTACTAATTTTTTAAGCCTAATTAGGACAAATCCGTTAGGACAAAAGATTTACTGTTAAATTGCATTTAATAGTACAGCTTTGAGCAAGGTGGGCTTTTCCATCCATTCAGCTAGTATTTTAAATCAACAAAAATCTGCCGGCGTGCTCCACTTGGAAGTCAATTTTCATCACGCGAGCCAATCCGATGCTACACTCAATTTGAGCCGCGTGCGCCATTTTGACGCGTCTTCAGTCCTCCAGGAAGATGGCGGTCGCACTTTGTTTATTTTTACTGTGTTAAAACTTAAATATCGCTCGTCATCGCCGAGTATCACTGAAGATAAAGTCTGCTGTTGTAGAGGCGCCGCACGAAGGCTAGAAATGACAGCACAGATCCGCAGGTATGCGATGTGACGGAAATTGAGGATATATGAGTACAGCTCAATAGCTACCTTGCCTTGTTTTAACAATATTAAAGGGCTCGTTCATGTCTTATGTAGCTAATGATATGAAAGTTATCTATCCGCATCCTTGGACTTCATCTCCGGTCGTAACGGTGTAGTACTGTTTGATATATTACAGTATAGCTTTAGATTACACACAAACTGTTACGGTCTGTCTTTCGGATTGTTGCTAGTCATGTCGCCTTACACAGTGGAGTTTATGTCTGGTTTGGGTAAAACATTGGAAACTTTAGCTGAGTTCAATTCAACTGTAAGGTGTATATTTCATGGCCGGTTGGATTTTTCTCTTTGTGGTCTATTCAGTTATTGCTGTCTGCCTATATGAGAAGTAGGGAGTATGAGCAGAAGGAAATTTAAAGCTGACTGGTCATCTGTCCTACAGTCATTAGACTGTTTACTTAAGTAAAGTTCTTTCAGCATGTCGAAGGAATGCATTTCTGGTACACTTTGCAATAAGGCTCCCTTGTGCCACTTGTTAATAAAAATAAAACTGTGTTATAACTTGTTTAAAATTGTCTATTAATAATTTACAAAGTGTTACAACCTAATTAATAACCAGATTATAAACCTTTCATAAACTCTTTATATGGGTAACCTTATTGTAAATTTCATCCTCCACTGTGATTTGGAAATGATCTGCTTTGCTTATTTGCTAAATTTTAATCATAGCTGTTGTTAATGAGCTCTCCATGGAGAGGCTGCTGGAATTATGCTGGGCATAATTTAACACAAATCAATTGTAAACCGCATCCACTCAGTGGGTTAAGATCCAAAATGATGCTTTTGTTTGCTAATAAGTTGTAATTAACTTTTAATGTTAATTGTTGGACTTGTTAATATTTTACCACAAAATGTCACTCTTGAATACTTATTCTGTGGAAGTTCTTGAACAAATGTTATGTTCCGCATCCAATTTCTATAAGTACATCTGCAGTAAATGGTCACAGAGAGCCTGAAGCCTGCATAGGATGTGAGGCAGGGCAGCTGCTAGATGGGATGCCTGTTCATCACAGGGTTCATATTCTTACACAGTATCGGACAATTGCTATTCATGAGGCACCAATTCACTGGACCACATGGTTTTAGATGGTGAAAGGAAACAAACCTTGCAAACATGCAAGAATGTGTACATTTCACACACAGTGACCAGAACTGAAACCCCAATGCTGGAGGTGTGACGTTATGTCTGTCATGTTCCTGGGTCACTTTTATTTAGTAAAGGCCTCAGCTCAGTGCTGCGTGTAGCAGACTGGTTGTGTGTGTTCATGGGCACATTTATTAGTAGAAATGGATAAAAGCATGTCTGTGTTCAGTATCACTTAGTCATTTCATATACTGTTTTATCGGCTACTGATGTTTTTTTAAAGTTCATGGGTTTTATGTCTTCCCCCCATAACAAGGTTGTGAACAAGAGAGATGCCTTACTGCAAGAAAATCCCCCCAAAAGAGAAATAACTTATAGCAAGAAAATCCCCTCAAAAATAATTTAAATTAATTCATTTTTTTTGGGGGTGGGGTGGGGGTGTGGTGTAGTGGTGGGACATCCTGGGAATCTTCTACTGGGGGGGTGTAAAAAAAAAAAAAAAAGCATTTTGTAAACCAAAGAATAGCATCTTCAGTTGTCCTTAACTAACTTCAGTAATTTTGCATGTGACTGTGTGCTTCAGTGTATTTATTGCCAATAAAAATTGTATGACAGACAGTATTTGTGTGTTTGTGTATGTGTCACAAATTTACTGTTCTCTTCTGTTTTAAAGTTGGAGTGGTTTCATCTGTGGTACTGTGCTTAATCCACTACACAGTTTTGTTAGTCGTTTGCTCACATTTTCCCCCATTCAATAATATTTATCATTCTTGTCAAAATAAGCTTGCGGGACTGATTGAAATAGGGAATCCAGCATAGATTCTGTTTGATTTTTACACAGCTTATTGGGCTACTTTAAAATACATGTTTATTATATTGTTACAAGTCATTTCAGTTTCATTACCAATCGGCTGACAAGGAGCCTTTGATTTGGGTATATGATTTTTATAGGGAATAAAAATGAATCAAGTTTACAAAATGCCTTGGGATGAGCCGAAAGTTCGAATTTTGGTAGAGCCGCAACTATGGTGCTAAAATATGGTGGACGTCGTATTGGTCTGATTTGGGGTTCTTTAAATAAAGAACATTTTTTTAAAAACTTGTGGGCTACTGTAGTGCTGTTTAATTTGCCCTCTTTTTGTCTCCTCTTGAAAAGCTAGATAGCCTAGTTAGCTAAAGCAAAAAAAAAAAATGAGTTTGGTTATTTGTTTATCATGAGGTGGCCTTGGATGGGTGATGAAGCTATAGTTCGGAAATGAAACAATATTGATAACCACTTCCTTCTACAATAAAGTAAAATTGCCATTAGTGTGTGATTGTGATGGGCTATCAAGTCTAAATACATGGATCAAAATCTTTATTTACCATTTTTTTTTATGATCTATGGGGTCACGGTTGCTCTAAGGTCTCTGCATCCCTTTACTGGGTAAATGATTGGAAGTTGGATGAACATTTTTAATTTTTTTTTCCCCGGAGCTGATGCTCAAAAACTCAGAATTTTTGCATTGAATAAACGGACTAGCATTAGATTTAACTGATGGTTTCTGATGCAGAAAATGTGTTTGAAGAAACTAATGTGTTTCAGGACTAGCTAATACCACGTATGTGCTGTAGGGTGTTTGTTTATGGATATTGGAAAACAAAAAGACATGTAAGAGTATCAGTTGTGGTCTTGGGCAATAGTTCTTGTTGAAAACTGATCAATGTCTTTCACTGATTTGTATATACGTAGGACCATATGATGTGTACTAGTTATATTAATGATGGGGCAAGTAACTTTTCATCAAATGATGTTGATGCAGAAAAAGCTGGTGGTTGTAATTTATATGTACCATTTTGTGTATTTTGAGTCTTGACAGTTAGTTTTCAAATCAAGTGATGTGGCTTGAATTTTTACATTACGATGTTAAAAGAATCTTTGTATTGATTGCTTTAACTTTTATTTCCATCCTCACCAGGAATAGCAAACTTAATACATTAGTGACAAAGCTTCATGAGTATCTGGCTTATTTATCTGATGAAGAAAGTAGCGGCCCCGGTCCTGATGATTCTAATGGTAAGTCCCCCCCCAGCTAGAATCTATAATAACTGTAATTGTTGATCAGTGATAAGCATAATATTTATTCATTTATTTCCTATCCACAGGAAAAAAGAGCAGTGATGTCACAGATTTATTCATCACCGATAACACCAGAGAACAGGTATTTCACAATGTTCTTGTACTATGAAATATATGGCCTGCATTTAAAAAAGCACTGCTCTTGAAAATTGGTTAATATCAGTAGTCCTCGTCAGCCTACAAAGACAGGTTTTTTGATTTTTCAGACATTACTCTGTATAAGTAGATTGAACTGTTTTTACTTAAAGGTCGTTACGTGTTACATGCATACACAGTAGTTTTCCACATTAACCAAAAATAAGTTTTCATATGCCGCCATACTGTAGCACAGCTGAAACAACAGCTGTAACGCTTCAGTAGGCAATAAGTTGTATAATATTTTTTGCTACAAACGCAATCGATCACTGTGCATTGTGTATTGACAGGGGACCCCTGTTAACTGTGCATACCCTTGTTACTAACTGTTATAACTTTGCAACACGGCAATTCTCCATATACAGACACTCCCCACTTTACAACCGAGTTTCGTTCCTATGAGTAGGTTGTCAAGCGAATTGGTCAAGCGAGGGACTTCCCCTTACTGATATTTCAAGCATACTATACTGGTAGCGGGTTTGTATCAACCATCTTTAGATATTGCTTTCATGTCACCTTTGCACCATTTATAACATTTTAGTATATTTATAGATATTTATGCAGTAGTGTACTGTATACTGTAATAAACAGTACTGCTCCTGATACGTCTACTCCATATGTGACAGGTGAAAATCTACGAGTGAAATAAACACAGGAACGGCTTAAGAGATCTCTTATCTAGCATAGCAAAGTTACAACCAGCTGCTTGATAAGTGCCAATGTTAATCAACGGAATTACAAATAAACGATACAGTAACATATAGGCATGCATCACAAAATAGCATTGCTGCAATCCAATGAGTCACTGTTAGCGTCCTTTCGCTTCAAGTATCAAGCATAAAGCCAGCTGTGCGTTACTGGGTAAATGCTTTACCTGACTATACGTGTAAATACACTTCAGCATTCACTTCATCATATCGTAGCCATTTGACTCCCTGTCTCCTAGGAATAAAATTTGTACATTTGACAAAACATCTAGATAAATGTTAGCTCATATGTCATGGTCAGTGTGTATCAGAAGATTTGTTAAAAAAAAAAATAGAAAACCTCTTTACACAAGTACCCTGAGTGAGATACAATCAGGAGATGTCTGATGAATATCTATACCATCAGTGTACTCCCCTGACTTTGGGAGATGCATATAATTTTGAGACCAGTCTGCCGCCACAAATGCTTTGCTTGTTAAGATAATTCAAAAAGACGTCTGGATCCTTTTCAAGCTTTGCGGAGACATTGTATGGTTGAGGAACTGAAAGTGGAAGTTTCTCACCAAAAAAATCACCTAGAAGTTGAATCGGTGCCATGTGGGGATAGCAAAAGAAGGAGCAGTTTTGACAGTTGATGTTGTTAGAGAGATAACTGAAAAAGTATTTGAAGGAGACGCATTGTATGTTGCTGCTGCAGGACGAACCGTATCCCTACACTTCCCATTTCAGTCACCCCTAGTTGGTTTAAAGACTCCAAAATGCAAGAAGGCTAAGGTTTCAGAGAACATCTTTCAACAATGACCTGGATGCAAAAATACTGGCATCAAAGATTTTGTATGCAAAATTCTGTCCTGAGTGCTGAGCCACACTACCGCACTATAACTCACAGCAACCAACAGAACACGTTTTCCTCAGATAAGCCCAAGGTCAGCGTCCAGCCTGAGTCTTGCTCTCATGGTGCCAGCAGCACTGATATCTCTCAGCCTGATGGACATGTTGATGTTCTGCATTCCATGGCCTCCTCTCCTTTCTATCTCTTACGTTCTTTAATTTCAAAATGATTATTTCTAACTTTTTCTTATTTAGTTATATTTCCTATTCAAACTTATTTCATGTATGTTTTCATGGAAAACAAGGAAATTTCCAAGTAACCCTTAACTTTTGAGTGGTATTGCATATACTTTATCAGACAACTAACGTGTCTGGCCCATTTCATTTTCACCAACATGTTGGTCTAGTGTGGTACACAACATTCATTACTTGCTGCAGTCAATTAAACACAACCACAAAAATATCTATTCCTGATCTCCTGCTCTCATCCCTGGGTGGATCTGCACTGACAGTTTCACCATCTGGCATAATTCCTGTTTGAGATGTTTTGCCTATGATGGCAGCTATTTTACCATCCAGAGATGACACTGACATGGTGTTTGGGCCTTGTGGCACAGACATGGGATCTGTGGGCTGTGATCCTATTTTTGGTTATTTCCAGATTAAACTTCTTTTGACATCCCTGCTGTCATTCTCATACAGCATTAACTGCATGTCATCTGTCCCCATGTTAGGTTCTTCTCTTTCTTAGACTGGCCACTAGGAAAGTTGCCAAAGACTACCTATTTGTCCAGCAAAACCTCCACCTCCTTCTCAGTGAAGTTCTGTTTCTTCCCCTCTGTGCTGTGCAGATATCAGTATACATGTTCTCCTATTATGCAGTTTGAATTGTGTTACGTAAAAGTTATATGCCCGTATATGGTTCATTGAGCATGTTTATTTAAATTGGTCTTGCTGTGCATGTGCAATCACATTTTGCAGGGTTCGGCATAAGCAATGGCCAGGGATCAGAAAAAAAAAAAAAAAAAAAAGTATGCTGGGGAAATTGATTGGCCCCTCACTGTTTCCGCCATTAACTTTCACATCTACACTAGGGTCAAATTGACCCCAAAGGCACGTCAGGTGACTTAATATAATTATTGTAGGAGCATGTAAGAGTTGAATTCATTTCCATGCATCTGAATGAATAAATTCCTTCAATATCTCAAATTTGCATGACTGCTACATTTACACCTACGTTATTTGTGCTCCCTTAAGTATTACTAATATTTCTTTACATTCTGGCTTTGGAATATGCAGTTGAGCACCCTAGTAGACTTATGACATATTTAAGTCTGCCCAAGATAGATACAAATTTGCAGTTTTCTTTAAACAAAAGACTCACCAAAGAGGTGGCTCTAGGAGGCAAACTGTATATATAATATGCAGTTAAGTTCAGAATAATAGCAGTGTGTTTAAAAAGTGAATAAAGCTCAAAATCCTTACAATAGCTTTTATTTCCAAACACACAAATGCATTGGGAACACTTGGGAATATTCTATTTCAAATCAAGACATGAAGAAAAATGTATCAAATTTCTGTTATCTTTACAGAAAGTAAAAAAAAAATGGAATATTAGGCTGTTCAAAAAATATGTGACTGATGTAGAGAATGTGATATGTAGAGAATGTCTACATTCCTCTTTACTAACTCAAACATTCACTGTATAAACTTAAAAATATTTCAAGAATTTTGCTTTTCTTTGAATCGCTGAATTAATATTTAGTTGTTTAATCACTGTTTCTGGGAACTGCTGCACATCTGTGTTGCATGGAGTCGACCAACTTCTGGCACCTGTGAACAGGTATTCCAGCACAGGATGATTGGACTACATTCCACAATTCTTCTGCATTTCTTGGGTTTGCCTCAGAAACAGCATTTTTGATGTTTTGATGCGATGTGGCCAGGTGTGAATGGCTCATGCATGCACATGAGAGCTCCGACGGACACTGACAGGATTCATGGTGTTCATGTGTTTCTTTTAATGACAGCAGACAATATAACAACTGAACTAAACATCAGAACATTTCTTTTTATGACAATTATCCACGAAGTCTGCAGATATTTTTGTCTGCTTTTCAGGTGGTTGACACGACATATTTTCCAACGTGTGCTCTCTGTCTGCTGGTGGGAGTGTGCTCACCTGTGTGTGCGTGCACGTGTTTCTGTGCGCGCATCTGGGCGGAACTCCGCCATGAGCGATACAGAGAGCACAGGAGAATTGTAGAAAGGAGCTCATGCAAAAGTAGTGGAGGTAAACTTTAGATCAGAGGTGGGAACAAGACTAGGAATTTAAGTGGTAAAACTTGACATGTCCCAAATCAAAACAATCAAGTCTCAAGTCAAAATATATCTAAACACATGAAGTCCCGAGTTAATAAGCCAAAGTCTTAAGTCCAAATCTACATGTGCTAAACCAGTCTGATATTTTTTAGGTTGACTTTCTTGTGCCCTGCATTTTATACGTAGTGAGAAATGCAATGAAAAGCACTTAAGTTAGTGCCAGAATGTGCATAAAGGTCATTTACGTGCAACACACCCATATTTTGATGTTTCTGCACACAAAATACATATCCAGAATAAGCGCCTCCTCTTTTATTGAAATATGCTGTGCTTTGTATTTTACTGTAGCCTTGCAGCTCAACGGATAGTGGGAAACACTCGGCACGTTCAAAGAGGTAAGTTTTCTTGCATTAAGTTTTCAGATGCAACTATTTCTTTAAACTTTAAGCCCTATTTAATATATTTTCTTGTAGGAAACCTTCTGTTACCACGAAGAACACTGGATTTAATGAATCTGCTGCTTTTAGAAAATGTGATGAGTCATTCATGAATGAATCTATCCATGGTTCAGAGAGCAATGTTGATGTAAACAGTTTACCTAAAGGTATGTTCCCCCTTTATATATTAGAGTTCCTCCCTTAGTTTAAAATTCCTTCAGGAAAACAGGAAAGTACAGTATTGGGTTTTTCATGCACACAGGTACTGTGATAGTACAGCCAGAGCCTGTGGGAAATGAAGATGACTTCAGGGGTCCTGAGTTTCGAAGCAGAGGAACCACCAAGCTAAAAAGTGATGTTTTGCGCAAAAGAGGTGAGGGACCTTCCCTACAGTGCCCTCTATAATGTTTCGCTACAATGTATACAGCACTTTCTGTACATAGTCACCCCCAGCACTGTAATATTTGGGACATATGGCTTTACAGGTGTTTGTGATTACTCAGGTGTTTAATTGCTTCATTAGTGCAGACGATACCTAGGTTTTCATTGTAAGCTTTTGACCACCTTTAGAGTCTGTATTTATGGAGTTGATATTAAAAAGTGCTGTAATTGTGAAACCAAAATATATACAGATAGGCTTAAAATCTAAAACATGCACTTTAATCATGTATGAATTGGTTGATTACAGTTTTAAAACTTTGGTATACAGGGGCAAATGAAGGAAAAATGTGTCTTTGTTCCAAACATTATGGAGGGCACTGCACACTTTCCCTGCTTTATTTTTTTTATGATGTTGGAAATGATTAAAGTGGCATGATATTAGTGTGATGTTATATGAGTATGATTCTTATTACTCTGTGTGTGGATATTGTATGTCCTCCTGCTGTCCTCTGTGTACTCTGATGTCCAACTACAGTACAAAACCAAGCAGGTGATATACTACGTCAGTTGTACATAGTGCGTGATTTGTGTGTGTGTGTGTGTCCTGTGACAGACAGGCATGCTTTCTGGGATACGCTTCATAACCTTACACTGTATTAGAGCTTATGAAAAATTATATTTTTAACAAAGTAACAAATGGATAAACTGGGTAATGGGTAAAATTTATTTGAAATGTATGCACATGTTATAACATTTCTAATTGTACCAGTCTAAAGGTACTTAACTGTAACATCCTATTGAATTTAATTTCAAACTGATTACATAAATGAACAAAACTGTACATATTCTTTCCTCCTTTTTGCTAGTCTACAGTTTTTTTTTTTTTTTTTGGTTAAACATAATTTTAAGGCAATATAGTATCTTTTAAAGCTTTACAAAACAGAGTTTTTGAAGACATTTTTTGTACATATGTCAGCATAATTATGGAATTGCTTGAATTAATTGCATAATTTATTTGGATAAGTGCAACTAAAACACATAGCTTGTATTAACAATTAAATATTCACCACTAAAGTATTATTTAAAGCAATACATAATGTAGCCGCTCATGGATTCTGTAGTAAACAGCTTGACATTATCAGTCTTTGTATCCAACCTGAATAATCAAAAAACTATATGCATGATTGTGTAGTTTTGGATAAGTATGTTAACTTAAGAAATGGAACAAAAGTTTTAAAGTTTTCTTTGGTGTCTTTTTCCTTTAAGAAACAGGAACTGAAACAGACTAATATAGCCTTTTAAGCAGTCAAGAAAATAGTGATAACTTGAAAAGTGTGTGTTTTTTTTTTTTTTTTTACTGTAAACACATGTTAATGTACACAATGGTTGTGGTACTAGGTGAGCACTTCCAGATTGTAAGCTGCACTGCTTGTGGACAGCAGGTCAACCATTTCCTGCGAGACTCCCTTTATCAACACCCTATCCTCAAAGTGCTTATATGCAAGGTGAGCGTAATATTATACTTCTATGTCCTACTGCTAATACCATGCAAATCAAAATAATAGCATTAAAGCATATGGTTGTGTTTTTTTTAATTATAATTTTACATTTTCCATTGAATTTCTGTATGAGAGATTATTAATTCATATTTTCATGTCATGAATGTAAACCATGTACGGCTCTACATACTTTTTTTGAGGGCAGTATAATTCAACATGTTAGGTATAGGGTGGGTACTGGTTATTGTATGCCCTGAACTGGGATTCATACATATGGTTTTGACACTAGTCTGCCACCATTGCAGACATGTTATTGTTAACATGATAATGCAAAAACTCCTCAGTGGATCTTTTTTAAATTTCAGGATGGTTTGTTTCAAAACTGCACTGCATAGTGATAACAAAGAGCAGGGCAGATTTGACACGATTGTATTAGAGTGATAACTGAAAAAGTATTTGAAGGAGACCAAGTGTATGGGTGTGAAGCTGGAAATTAACTAATTTTGAGACAACTTGTCCAAAAATTGAAGCAACGCCGCTTAGTGGCAGCAAAGAGAAGGGTGAAAACAGATTACATTTGATCTTGTGAATGTGATAAGTCAAAAACTGTTTGAATGATCTTATTAATGCTTCACAAAAATAAAATGAATGAAGACAACTGATTTCAGTTTTGGCGCTTTTCCACTGGCATACAGGAACCAACCCGTATCCGAGCCATACTGAGAAGATACTAGTTATGGCACGGTTGTAGCTCACCTTGATTTTCCATGGCTCAGTGAAGGCGTTGCCGAGTTTGGAGAGCGACAATGACATAAAATTGAAGAGGCCCTTATTACTGTTCCCATAGTATACAACATGATTTACTGTATGCTAATGTTATGTTAGCACCAAACACTAGCTGAATTAGCATTCACTTGCATACATTTGCAATACAAATCTATTCTGTTCAACTGTACTTTTAAGTTGGAGTTATTGGGAATCCAGAAGACAGTACAGAAGACACCTGGTCTTGTGTACACAGTAATTCTAAAAGTATTTTACAGATCTTTTTCAAACTTCGCAAACTATGTTTGATATAATTACCCCATTTGATCTTTGATAGATTGTATTGTAAAAAAAACAGCAGTGATAGGTGACAGCTCTTAAAGGGAGTCTTTTTCACACTTCCTAGGAACATTGTACAGGTCTGTGATTCCCAAACAGTAGGGCATGAGATGATTTTTTTCAATATGCTAAATTATTTATTTTTTCCCATCACCAACCTCCCCCCCCCCAACTTTCCAAAGTTTATATTGGCATATATCAGTTTTTTCCTTGTTTGCTAGCATTTAGTTTTCATCAAAGAATATTAAGAACATAAATCACATTTTAAGAACTGCACAGTAAAACTTGCATAACAAGATAGCGTTAACCACCCAAATTGGCCGTGAAAGATTATGCTAATTGGCATGTAAGGGGAATGTGCAGTAAAGTAATAGCTGTAGCTTGAGTCATTTTTGATGACTCTGACATTTTGGGTAAAATTACACTTATTACCTTTCACATTTCTAGTTGATCCTTCCAATAATTCTATAAATTTGCACAGGTTGGGGGGTGTGGGAAGAGTAAGGCTTAATTGGGGGGAAGAGGTCATGGGGCTGTCTATGGAATTTTCTGTTTCTGACTAAGGTTTATTTACAATAATGGTGCTTTTTTTCAGTCCTGTTTCAAGTACTACATGAGTGATGACATCAGCAAGGATGTGGATGGCATGGATGAACAGTGTCGGTGAGTTCATTGTCGCCACAAAAAAATTATTAAGCCCCCTGAATACGCCTTGTATAGCATGAGTTATTGTGCTGTGGTAAACTCACAATCAGATGTTTGTTTTTAAATATTATTTTGATTTGATTGAAAGCTCTTTTGCAACTGAACTCAGATAAATAAGTTATTCAGTGGTAAATGATTATGATTTTGTGGTTTGAATAAGTAACAGGACTTGCTTCTGTTATATTTTGATATATTAGTTATACTCTACTACTTACAATACTGGTAGTTTCATTTCAGTATTTTGACAGTTGAGTTAGCATACAGTTAACTGGAAAAGAAAAGGTGTATTCTTTGTTTTTTATTTTTTATTTTCTTTTATTTAACATTTTATGTATGAGTAAACCCCTGTTTCCACAGGTGGTGTGCTGAGGGTGGAAACTTGATTTGTTGTGATTTCTGCAGTAACGCCTTCTGTAAAAAGTGCATTCTGCGTAATTTGGGCCGTAAAGAGCTTTCAGCTATCTTAGATGAGGAAAACAAGTGGTACTGCTATGTATGCAGTCCAGAACCCCTCCTGGATCTAGGGTTTGCCTGTCATAATGTGCTGCAAACCATGGGACAAATCTGGAGCCAGCAACGAAAAAGGGGCAAACTAGAGAACGAAAAAGCAGCTGGAGATGATGGAATCCATAAAAACTTCCAAAAGAACAAGGCAACTTTTCAAGGGAAGGGACACAGCATTGACAACCACGGATGCCGTCCTACAGTGGTTGCCAACCAAGAGCTGATGGTACCAAAAGAACTGGCTAAAAAAACAAAAAACCTTGTTGAAGCCACATCTGCTTTGAACAATATGTTTCTAAAATTATTGCAGCAGAGCACAGAAAACCAAACAACCGTTGCTGTTAAGTTGAGCCAGCTGAAGGCCTTCAAAGGAGTGTTAGCTGCTCTAAAAAACGTCCACAGTGCCTTGGAGGAGGCTTTGGAGCAGGAATACCTGGAGTCCGTACTGCAGAGTGGAGAGGAGACCGTACACAACATCACTAATGATGAAAACCCAAATGCCAGTTACGGGCAGGGAACTTCTAAATTTTCACATAACCATGCCGAAAAGAAAAGCAAGATAAATCATTTAATGAAACTTGCCGATGAAGTCAGTATGGAAAATATTACAGAAGGTGCTGTTGCAGAGAATGATAGATTGGAGAAAAGCTCACAAAGCCCAATTCAGAAAGGTGGTGGACTGACGAATGTCCAAGACGCAACTGAAGGGACATCTGCCAAAGTAACAGGATGGAAGCCACCCACAGTGCCGTGTGAAACATCCCTTGGTGTTGCCACTGTTTCACCCAGTCTTCCTGAGAAACAATATGAGGTGCCTGAATCTTCAGAAAATGCCCTAGGGACAGCACAAAAGGGCTCCGCCAATTACAGGACATTTTTAGAGTTGAACCCAGGTCCATACAGGGTTACAAAAAAATTGGTTGTGAGACTGACACCTGTTCAATTGCAAAAATCTTATGAATCTAGTCATTTTAAGAAGGACAAAGAAAATAAGAATGAGGACAGTCACGAGGGAGTGGATTTCACTGAAGGGCCGTCCGTGGAGCGTGTTCTGCCGATGGAAAATGAGCAAGATAGTAGGCGTTTACCAAGGGTGAAGATCACGCCTTTGCGGAGGCAAGTGGACAGTAAGGCCAACCTGACATGCACACAGGGTAACAGTGACAGTGATGTCGATGGGGACACGCAAACAGAAGTCCAAGATGCATATAACATGCCAAATGGAAAGAAAAAGGGCAGGATGGTTCCTCCTGTCCTACAGACGCTTGCTTCAGAGGTAGAGAGTGGTAATGAGGACGGTCTGCAAATAGTCAAGAGGAAGTGCCTATTTGGACTGAACAGGAATTCCCTGCAGTCTCCTGACAAGACGAGCCTAAAACGCAAGCGGAAGGTTAGCTTATCCGACTCTGAACACAGTGAATTCACTACGACTAAGAACACAGTGAAGAAAGGGAGACCCAAGAATGATTATACTTCCAGTAATGAATCAGATCTTGAGACGGAAACTGGAAACCTGGGAAAGCATCGTGTACTTAGGAATAACAGGAAAATTAATGACACTGGAAATGAATTAGATGGTGCACAGGAAAAAGATTTCCAGAAAGTGATGAAGACTAGAAGGCCTGCAGTAAACTCTAAAATGTTTCAGCTTAAAGTTAAGCATTCATCAGAAGAGTGTAAATGTTCTTCTTTTGACATCCATGATGATGAGGAAAGAATATGTACAATTGAGGACCCTGTTGGCGGTGGTGATCAAAATATGAAACCCATCACAAAACGGACAAATGTATTGGAGACGGGCACTTTCCACCAGGCGCCAGGTACGCGGCGCACACGCATACGCACACGCACACGCACACGCACACGCACACGCACACGCACCAAATGTATGCTTATGAAGGTTCTCATTCTTCATGTTGCCTGACCGGTACTTTAAACATTTGAAATTAGGTTTATAAGTTATGAACAAGGATTCGTAAGTCTTAAGTTTCAAAATATATATATTTAGCATAATCAATTTTCATCTAATTCATCAAAAAACATTGTAATTCATCTTACTGCATGCAAGTTAAGCTGGGTGATTTGATTATAGCTTAGATTTTTTTTTCCCCAAATGCATATTGAAAAATAAATTTCTTTCTCTTTTTATTTTCATCTCAATTAGAGGATGAACCAAATGTTCAAGCTGCCCTTGATGTTGATGGTGATGATCTGGAGAACCATGGTTTGAAGAAGGTTGACACACCAATTATAACACACCTTAAATGTGGCAGCAGAGCTAAGGAGCGGATTACCAAGCACAGCAGCAAAACTGGGACTGCCTGCACTGTAAAGACCCGATCTCAAACAACACCTCAAAAAACATAGCCAGCCAGCAAACGCCCTCACATCTTGCTCTGTAATCGGTGATCATCACAATGGCTGTTTCACACATCTCATAGTTTGTCTATGCCAGTATCACCATAAACTGCTTTATAAAGTGCACAATTCATAATATTCCTGTTAATTAGAAAATGACTAAAATTGAACCAAAGTGGAAACCTTTTTTGGACAGTGTGTCATTCCCTAACTGCATTTGGTTTGCATGTAGAGATGTAACACTTGTGATAAATATCCATATATTTTTTTTTCCATATCCATTGTCTCATTGGTTTTGTATTCAGAGTTGTGACTTTCTTCTTAAGGTTTTTCTTTATTTATGTGTGGAAGATGGGTGTGCTGTGTAAATTCACTATGAACTCCCATTACTAGAATGCTGCATACTGTGTAAACTGAAATTTCATGACTTGTTACTTCTCAGGATTTACTGCAGCTCAAGTATTGCTGCATGTGATCTCCATTCTACAAAATTCTATTTCTGTCCCCAGAATAGTCATTCAATTTTTTTTTCCAAAAATCAGTTTTATTTGGAAAAACACCTTTCATTCCCCTGACTTGATTTACACTAATTAAATGAATGGCTGCATATTTATTTAAAATATAACAAATTATTTTGGCACACAGTTATGTCTGTGTGCCAAAAACAGTTATGTCTAGATCTGTAGCTAACTAGCCTGAAAATTTATCTAGTATAGCTAGGTAATTGCTTGCAAGCCAAAGAAACCAAGCACATTGTTTTCTTTTCAATCTTCTGCTCATTGATAAGAAAATTAAACATGCTTTTCCACAGACAGTGAATGCATACCATCTGGCAGGCTGACGGATTAAGGTTGTGAACAAACAGTTCTCAAACTCTACTTACAGGTACCAAGCTACCTATAGCCAGTAGCATGTTTACCTAGTTGGCCAGTAGTTGACTTGCTGTTATTTTTGTATAATTTCTTAATTTCATTTTTAAGCAACACAATGGTTTTCAAATTGGAAAAAAGTATTCCTGCTGCTGTCGTGTTTTTTATTTTTACCTTTTATTTTATGATCGTTGCTTTCCTCGAAATTTCTCCATCTGATATTTCACAATACTTACTGCCTCACAGTACTTCCTTGATCACTTGTATTTTAGAATGTAAGATTTTTTTTGTGCTTTTCTGATAAATGCAACCAGACATGCCTTTCATATTGAAGGTTACTATAATGTAAATTCAGTAAGGTATTTAAATGTAATTTGTTTGTATGCATTATTGGTAGTACTGAAATCTGTAAATGGGAAAACTCCATTAGGTTTTTGAAATTTTTCTGTTTTTGTTAAATTGTACATTAATCATTTCATTTATGTTTCTCCATTGTACCTGTCTGAGGAATTTTTTGGGGAAACTATCGTAGTCCTCTGTCTTATTTACTGTTTCTTGGGTGGCCTAACAAATGTATGTCACCCACACTTGACTGAAGATGATTATTATGTTGCTATTTATGATCTCTTTGTAAAATGGAGTTTTGTGAATAGGCCCAACCACAGATCCTTTTGTTACCATTAAACAGATTGTTATTGTTTAATTCTGGGAGATCTTTAAATGACTGTAATTATTAAAAATTGACAGTTTCTTTAATACTAAAGTAACTGTCTAGAAAGTTTAGTTCTTTGTAGGTTGTAATGGCATCCTGTTAATTCTAACAGTTTGGGTGATGACAGTTTGGCAATTTCTTACTGCAGTAATAAATGAAACCTCAATGCATACTTATTTGAAGAAGTTGACTGAAATGTCTATGCAGACATGCTTATTTATGTTTCTTAACTTGTTTAAACTGATGTGTTAATTGATGCACCTCTACATGGCAAAACACAATATCACAGTGTTTAGAAAGCCAGATGGGTAACAAAATGAAACTTTTTATTTAATACATTTAGAAACAAATGTTACAATCCAAAACGCATGTGAATTATTATATAACATTTATAATACAGAATGGTATATAGAAGTACATTAATGTATATGTCCAATAAAGTTGAAAGATTGGAACACATAATTAGATGTTTTATTTGATTTTACAATTACAATAGTAGTGCGTATTTGGGAAAAATATGTTTTTAAATCAGAGCTATGAATGACATAAGTTTAATATACCTAACCAATAAGGTCATGTCAGTTGTGCATCACAAAATTCAAGGAGGATTCCCGTGTCCATGAGAATGACCAACTATAGGCTTAGTAGGCTATTGCCATACTTTCATTTTCACAAAAACAGGGTTTCTGACGATTTAAATTAGGTTCACAACATAAACATAAGGGGCCATATTCCACATTTTGCTTGTTGCCAAAATGAGAATATAATCCCCTTTTCTAGCATGAATTAAAGTTGCATGGACATCCATCTTTTTCAAGTTTCACACGTTGGGCGTGACTGCTCTGACGAGGGAAGAGTACGCATAGAAGAGCATAACTCTTTAAGCACTTTTTTGACTTGCGTGCCTGATGGAAGAATAGACCCCTAAATGAATAGCATGAACTTAACTAAATCGTTTTTAAGTTATATAATTTCAAAATCAGTCTTGAAATTTGGATTAGGCATTCTTTGGAACTGACAAATGTTGAACAAATTAAGTAACCGTGGTATTCTCACTCCCTAAAAATGTCAGAATCTGTTTTTAACCTAACCTCACCCAATATATCGGTTTCCAGAGTTGATATGTTTTAATGTATTTGAATGTCAGTTGTAATAAGTATTACTACAGTTCTTTTTTTGGTACAGATAGAACAGTCATATTATGATACACTTGTATACTGCTATGGAACAGTCATTTCTTTTGCATGGACATCTCAGATCAAATACTTCAATTCGTATGCTAATCTTTTTATAATTATTTTTAATTCTATCGTCATGGTGGAAATAACAGGTGGAAAATTCCATCTGGGGATTAATAACGTCTATCTATCTAATCTGTCTATTTAGAAGTAAAGTATTTGGGTTTTTTCAGTTAGTATCTCTGTGATCATTACAAAAAAATATATGAAAATGCTGCATATGACACAATTATGTCTTATAACCTTTTTGTAAAATGAATTTTAGTCCTCCCATAGGTTAATGAAGTAAACCATTGTCCAGAGTAGAAGGTGACAGCTGTAATATGAATGCATATACACTCACCTAAAGGATTATTAGGAACACCTGTTCAATTTCTCATTAATGCAATTATCTAATCAACCAATCACATGGCAGTTGCGTCAATGCATTTAGGGGTGTGGTCCTGGTCAAGACAATCTCCTGAACTCCAAACTGAATGTCAGAATGGGAAAGAAAGGTGATTTAAGCAATTTTGAGCGTGGCATGGTTGTTGGTGCCAGACAGGCCGGTCTGAGTATTTCACAATCTGCTGGGATTTTCACGCACAACCATTTCTCGGGTTTAAAAAGAAT